AGAGGACATACGCTGTAATCCTTTAAAAGCCGCACAACCTCAAATTGAGCGTGCCATCGCCAACAATAGGCTTTAAGATGCGGCTTAGAGATGTTACAATTAAGTCACACATACCCAAACCACAACAAAGAGCATGAGTAAGAACACAAACCACAGACTTCCTCAAGAGCTGCAGGCTGGGACGTCTAGATCATATAAGTGGGCCCATTGCATGAGGTTACTAATTAAAAACACAGAGCAACGTGATCCAACCAGAGAGCCTGCAGAGAGTTAACCTCATCCTCATCAGACAGCTGTTGTTGGACAACTATACCAGGCAGCTATTAACAGCCAACTGTAACTACACATCTTAATGCTGCCGGGACCAATACAGTTCTTATTTTTCCATTTCTTGAAAAAAAAAAAAATGCATGTTTCAGATCAATGGATTTCATTGATCAAGGAAAAGAAAAAATATGTCTTCAGCTCAACCTAGCTCTATGACTGGTGGTCCCACTTAAAAAACAAAACAAAAAAAAAGACAAGAAGAATGCTGGCTCTGTTCTAGGAACTCCTCTAGATTCTCTGGAGATGATTTGACAAAAAATAATTAATCATAAAAACAGAGAACATAATCAGGCTCTTAAACACCAAAAGCGTCTTCATTCAAAGGCTTCTCTAAGTCTGATGCAAGACAGACGCTTCAGAAGATCCTTCCTGCCCACAGCTACCAACATCTACATTAACAGCTGCTTGGAAAAAAGCAGATAAGTTGCTCAAACATTAAAAATTTACCTTGGGATTAACAACATTTTTTTTTTTTTTTTTTATTGAATTTAGTTACAACAATCAAATAAATATAAATAACAGCAGTGAGTCATTTACATGCATGTAGATGAATTTTGGCCCCATCTTGTTTACTGAACGTTTATTTTAACTATAAGGGCATATTTTCATTCCTGAATGCCTGTCTGCCTTTGCTATTTAATAGGGTTAGGATCTGGACTTTGATTATGCCTTTAAAAAACCTGCATTTCAGGTATAAACAATGCAGGGATAGGCATGTAGGTGTGGAGTGAATATAGTGCAGAGTATAGTTCTGCTTTAGTGTCCCAGTTGGAAAAGAATCCTCCATTAAGTCTTAAGAACAGCTGTTTTCTGATTCTAAACCCGTTTCCTCTTCTCAAACACAGTCAGTCTCGGGAACATCCAGTTAGTCAGAATTACACATTTTGAATTGTTTGTACCAACTTTAACTGAGCTATGAAGCGAATTTACTGTGACAGAATAATTTTTTCCAGGTTTTATTGCTATTAATTACATTAGCAAACATATTTTACATTTAAACCACAAGGTCAGCCCATTTTAATAAACCCTCTTTACTGCATTTCAGTCGTGGTCAGAGAGGGAACATGAATCGATTCACAGATGCAGAAGCAAGTGGTCAAAAAAGAAAATAAAAAAATAAATAACAAAAAAAAACAAAACAAATATCCAGAAAAATCTCAGACTTCTGTTTGTGAATCATAGGCATTCTTGTTAAAAGCTTTGAAGAGTAAAAAAAAAGAAAGAAAAAGTTTATTAAAGCTATTCAGCTGTCAAATCCCAAGAGTTTTGACAGTAAGTCCAAATCTCTTCAAACGTCAGACTTACTATAGTCAATTGACCTAAATCATCCTTTATTAAGCACAAGTCAAGCATCAACAGCCTTTAACTGTTGTAATAAAAAACATAACAGTATTTCAAAGGAATATGAGTAAGACTCTTAGGACAAGCACTTAGTTCAGGTTGGTATGCAGCGACGTCTACTTTTGTTTCCTTAAGAGTAATCAAGGATTACCCATTTTGACTCAAGTCATGCCAATGCCAATCACAGGCTGAGTCAAGGATCGTTATCTGATTTTTAGTTTACCTAAAGTTACTTTTATTCCACAAAACTATTTGTTTTTTTTTAGCAAAAAAACAAAACAAAAAACAAAGTTTACAGAATGTTCAAAGATGGTCTGTTAAGTTGGCTTGATGCTGGTCACTTTATTATTGGTTTCCTCAGCTAAACATGCAAGTAAAATAATAATAAAAGCATAAAATAATAATCCAAGAAGCAACACTCACAATGAATTATAAAACAATGCAACATCTCATACCTGTCATGTAGTCCGACAGGCATAGTCTCCCCTCTGTGTGCAGGGTGATCCATGCCCTCCCCAAAAGCACACCTACATTAATTTAAAAAGAAAGAAAATAAATTTTGACATAAAAATATCTTCAAAAGCCTGAATATTAAAAAAATATTCTTCCAGCTGGTAGATAATCACGACTAGTTGTTACAGAAAGTTTCTTTCCTCTGAAATAACACATCTTGACCTACTAACATACTACACTTAAAACATTTTCTTTTTTGTTTCTTTTACAGGATTCATCTTATTATATTGTTAAGTGGATAATATACCGTCTGTGTGGGTTCAAAAGAACATTTAAACTGATCACAAAGCAGAAAGTTATTGTCTACTGAGTAAAATGTAAACTGGTTTCATCCTCTTGATAAAAATACTCTGAGGGATCATCCCTACTTGTTGCTTTGTGCAGAAATAAGCTAATCGAAAAGGTAATTAGAGTGATGATGATAAAAATTATGACTGGCCAAATAAAATGAATTGATTTTATAAAAAAGCCCATTTTGCTTTTTCAAAATGGTAAATAAGTTAAAGTGCTCTCATCTCCGACAGGGCTATAATTAAATTCTCTGTACAGCTTTATTGTTATTTATATTGTATCTCTATTGTACTCACATAATTATCTCCAAGTTAATATAAGAAAAGGGGCTCTAAGGGAAGAAAAAAATATTCTAATCTTAAAGCATTTAAATTTTTTTAAGACTCTTTTCTCAGGTTCAGTTCGGACTTACTTGCTAACTGGTGTAAAGAGCTAAAACAGCCCGAAAACATTAAAGGAAATTCGTCGGACTAAACTGTTTTATTAGCAAATAACATTGTCAAAGCCTGGTAGTTGTAATCATGTTCTTGGCTCCACAATGTCGGTCCATTCTCCCCTTATGAGGTTCAGGCTCTAGCTAACTAGCTTAGCCAACACTAACGCTGGCGTTTGATAGCCTGGAATTTCGGATAAAAGAAGAAAAAGGGTCGACTACTGAACGACTTTTAAGCTGAAAACTATTCTCTAAATCTAGTTTAATGGAGTTAATTAGTTAATTTAGCGGTAAGCGACCAGAGTCAAAATAGAAGTTAGTTGGTTTAGTTAGTCTGGTTGGTTGATTGATATGCAACAGCCAGCAGATGCCTGAGCCCCACTGTCAGCTGGTATTTGTTCAGCTGAACATGCTACGTGCCACATTCCCACCAGTTTACACGTTCTTTTGATATTTTTTTATACTGTCCGTAAACTTTTAAGTAATATATTCCATTACCTTACGAAGAGAGGTAACGTTACCAGCGTCCTTGTTTTCCTTTCCAAGCCCCCTAAATCCACTTACAAGGCTAAAGCCGCCTTCCTCCTCCCTTTAATCCAATCCTGTTGGAGTTTACTGTAAGGCAGGGAACATCGGAACTTCCCATTGGTTGGAGACTCTGACAATCTTTTGTCATTGGCTCAAAACTTCCGTTAGTAAATAAAGAGATTTAAAGAAGAGTTCGTTTCATGTGAGGCACTTTGAGGCTGGCTGAACAGGGTGTGCTTGCCATAATCTACCTTCTACCCTGTTTAAATATGAATATTAAGGAATTTTAAATAAAATATTAATAAAACCTTAAATATTATGTATAATAACACACATATGAAAGAAAGAGAACAGCAAGAAAGTAATTAGTGACTTAGTTGTTTGTCATATAACACATAATTCTATGAATTTGTTTAAAAAAAGCAGAAGTACATGGGTTTTTTTTAACAAGAGGTCTGCAGATGTAGATGAGTAAATAAAAGGTTAGCATGATTGGGTGTGGCTTGATAAAATACCTATATTTATCAAAACAAACATTAGATCATGTGAAGCCAAAAATTGAAAAAGAGGGCTGGAATGGAGCTCATTTTCAGTGGAACAGTGTTAACCTCCAGCTCGATGAAACGTTTTATTTAATTAGGAAAAAGTCAAGCAATGCAGAGACAAGAAGCAAACCATATATTTTGATCATACCCTATGAGTGTCCTGTACCATTTAGGAAAAAAGTCAATAAAAAAATTTTGTTTCATATGGTTATTCCAATCAATGTTCCAGGATTGCTATTTTGGTTTAATGTGAATTCTAAAATTATTTTTTTCTTTAAAGTTTTGTGTGTGGCGGCCAGGAAAAGCTTCACTGGGAAATGGATTTGCCTCAAACTCCATTGCTAAACGAATGGTTTGCTATTATAAATGGTATATTCAAGCTATTGAGAATAACATTTAATACCAGATTACAGAAATAACATTTAAGGAAAAATTGACTATTGAATTATTACAAAAACAAGGAAAGATTTTTATTAAAATCAAATGCAAATGGTAGTTGTGTTTGTTTTTTTATATACTGATGTACATCAATGGCACATCCTTTAGGTTACCAATTGAACTTAAGTGTCTTTTTTGCATTAACAAAATTTTTAAAAATTAAGAATTAAAAATCTGTCCTTAATTAATGGTACATGGTACTTTGTTTTGCATGACGATATATATATACATACCACAGTTAAATACCACAGTTACAGATGGCAGCAGAAAAAAGGACGAGCGCGCTATACTGGTTACTATGGTAACCACCAATATTCAGAAGCAGCAAAACACAACTTACATATGAATAAATGTTCGGACAAAATAACTTTTCGACTAAACGAAATGGAGTTAAAGACTACATTAGCCCACTTTCACGAACTTTACATCGATATTATCGTTAAAATAAAAACAGTTTTTATTAATTTATTTTTTTTACTGACGGTACACACTGTTCCTTCTTTTTTTTTTTTTTTTTTTTTGCTGTTCTTCGTGGCGCCAGCAGAGGGCAGTAATGTCTCTAAACCACATCATAGCAGCGGAGTAGAAGCAGCCGCGCCCCGCCCATTGACCCACCCGATTACACTCCATGGAATAACCGTTAAATTGTTTGTTGTTTTATGTTAACGCTCGTTTATTACGTTGTCCCTCGCGCCGTCCTCAGCTTCACAGCTGTCCACGAGTAGCCCCCCAGCCGGATACTGGTCTCTTACCTCCAATTTTAGAGTCGGCGGTTTGCTGTGATTAAGAGAGATTTAAAATCAGAAACCTACGTTAGCATCGGAATACATTTGTTAGCCTATCAGCTGGTTAGCATAGTATAACATTATGGCGTTAAGTTAGGGAGGACAGTGGTTGTTCCCTCTAACCCTGGGGTACGATAACATATTTGACTCAAATAGGCCAGAACACAGAGAGACGGCGCTTATGTTTATCACCTGCAGAATCCCAGATTGAGCCTTTTTATCACAGCTGTCTAGCGACTTAGTTGGACTAGCTAATGAGCTAAACTGACGTTAGCATGGCGTCAGATACGAGTGACAACGAAGAATTCTACGATGCTCCAGAGGACGTTAGCTTGACTCCAAAAGAGTAAGGAAGCTACTTTTTATTTGACTTTTGCTCTTATTTGGTAGTTAACGTCATGTAGCTACTGTTGTATTTTTAAACCCATCTTTAACTTATTAACTAACGGTTAAATTAAACACACTACTGGTTTGTGATTAACTTAACCGATTTCCATACGTTAGACAGCACTTGGGTTCAGCAGCTGTTAAATGTCAGGAGAAGCTCAGCCAGGGAGTCACATGATCTGACTGGGATATCAAACAGGAGAAGGTTACTTCCCTGTTTCAATTCAAAACACTAAAAAATAAACACAACAAACTGTAGGGTTTGACCAGCAAAAATAATACAATTGAAAGCACAGAAAAAAAGATAGCGATCACTAAGTCTGGTGTTAAGGATGTTGGTGTTTCTTGTAACCTGACTCATTCTATTTACTAAAAACTAGACAGAGGAGTCATATTCACACTTTGAACGTTAATTTTAAAGCCTAACTGGGAATAGACACATTCCTATTAGGAATGAACCCACAAATGAAAAATAATAATGATAAAATTAAGCCTAAGCATAAAAAAAAAGTAAAACTGCAAGAAGCAGAGCAAATGTTTGGGATTGTTGTATTGTCTATGTTCATGTAAAAACTGTTAGTTTGGCAGGAGCTTTACTAAATGCTGCATTTATGATCTTAATTATTACATATCTGCACCTCTCTATAGCTGATGTAGTGAAATATGCCAAGTGGTAATGGTGGATAAAGTTAAATTGTAGGTTTACATTTGTCCACACAAGATTGATAAATTTATTGGGCAAAATGTAGTGATGGATTAAGGCCTCATAAGGCATTGAACTGTTTGGTCAAATTGCTTCAACGATCCCCAAAGTTCATAAAGCTTCATGTGAACATGTCACCACCTACTGGTGGAGAGCAGAACTACAGTTAGTAATAAAATCTGTAATTTTTTTGCTATATTGTTTTTGTTGTTCTTTTTCCTTTTAAGTTCCTTTAAAATAGTTAATTATTAATGTGTATAATAAAATCATTTGTCATTTTTTTTAAAGTGTCAAATTTCTTAGAACAATCACTTAAGGTGCACAGTTTTTCTGCCATTTTAGTAAAATAAACTCAAGCATACAGTGAAAGTGTTTGAGAAAATTGGGCAATGATGAGCAAAATGAAAGGTGTTAGTCCTTTATATTCAAACATAATAGTTTTTCCACAGTTTTTGGTTTTAATCGGGTTGGAAGTTGTGTTTAACCAATCTTTTGGCTAAACGGACGTAATTCGGCAGCGTTTTTACCCAGTCTATATTTTTACTAGGGCAAACCAATGCAAATTAGTCTCATCAGCCAAACTTGAACCATCAACCTATAGAGTGAGTGCCTGTGTCTTGCAGATCACACCACTGATGTGGACAACCTCAGAATGGAGAAAATACTGATTAATACTGACGTGTTTAACACTAACTGTGTCCGGTGTCAGATTTTGATCATTACATTGTTTTTTATCACCAAAATATTTTTCAACAAATAGATTGGTTGGAAAAACAACCAATCTATTCTTAGAATCTATCCAAACTTTATCCACTAGCAGCCCTCCTCCAAACTCCCACATCTTGATTAAACACTGAGGCTGTTTAGATGCCTTTCAAAATTCTTGCGCTTTCTGAACCATTTCATCGGTCACGTGGTGTCACGGTAGCGAGGCCTCAGACGTCATCGATTTTGGCCCCTCCCCTAAATGAATCACGCCTCGACACACGCTTCGGGGAAACGCCTCCTCCATTACTCGACGCACGCCTCGAAGCCTCGGCTCATCTCATAACACCACTAGCAAAAAAAAAACAGGTTTTCACTATAGATATGAGAGCCTTTTTTAATAAACAATCAGTCCATATGGCTTTCCTAGAGGTTTCTAAACATGCCAGTAACAACAAACTCATCTGACAACGGAGGAAATGTCACTGTTTAACATACTGAGTTGAAATGTTTCTTTTTTTGTTTGAGTTTAATTTATAACTACAACTCTGTTTTATTATTTCTAGGTCACCTGCAAAGTTGGTCATTCCTTCACCTCAGGTATGTTTATCTGAACTCAAAATACTGTTAAAATAAGCTCATTTACAGAGATCTAAGCTAAAATGCACTTCGTTACTGCTTCCAAAGGAATGAAGGCTAGAACATAAGCAGGCGCTGTTCAACAGAAGCACTGTGAAGAATCTTATTGACTGGCCGGTTGTTTTTAATCCATCAGTTACTGTGGCTGTGCTGCTCCATGTTTTATAACACCTATATAATTTATTGCATGTTTATTTCCACAGATTTTAATGCCCTTCAGTACGCTGCCAGGGCTAAGTAAATATTTGGAAACATTCCCATAGATTCTAGTAAGGCAGCTGTCAATTCCCCTTACCTGGGGAAATTTTACGAGTTCATTGTTTATATTGAGAGATAATTTTCAATAGTTAAATTAGCTTAATCAGAGAAGCTCTGTTTGAAGTTTTTCCAACTATACCTCCTTTGTGTGGAAGCAGGTATAGCTTTCAGTTAGGGTGTGACTTGTTTTATTCCACCTAGTTTTACGCGTTCGCCTACTTGGGGCTTTGTATTTGAGGCTGCATAATTTATAATCTTTGTGTTGTGAAAGATTTAATAAAAATCAAATAATGAAAAAATAAAACATCTCTTCCTAGCAGTTCATGTCTCTGCATGTTCTTCCTGAGGTCAGATTGTGCAATGAGGCTAAATGTGGGATTTTACAGGCCTTTGTTTGTTTGAAGTTAGTCATTGCAGTACAGTCAAAAAGCAGGAGCATGGTGCAGGTATGGCGTGTTTGAAAGAGTTTCCAGGACAGACAGGTTATAGTTTTATTTTTTTTATATATATATATTAGGGGTGGGTATTGGCAAAGAAGTCACGATGCGATTCTATCACGATGCATCACGATACTTGAAATATTGCGATGCATTGTGATATTTTCACTGAACACTGTAAGAAAAAGATACAGCCCTTACCAGTGGCTGACTGGCTGGGTGTGATCTGGATAGTGTCTTCAATTGATACATAACTGAAAGCAACTGAATTCATACATAGCTGTATTTATTGAAATTACTTTTGGAGGTGTTGCCATGAAAACAAATACTGGACAGAAATATTACTATTACTGGCATGGACACACCAACAAAAAGATCTTAGGATTCATCAAACTTAAAATAACAAAATGGGGATAATCAGTCCGGACATGCTTATGACACAAAGCAGCAGGCGTCAACACATCCGCAGCGACATCTGCTGGACTGGAAGTTGTATTCCACTTGGTTTGATTGATGTGCGCCAACCATTAATGTATTTTATTTGTTCATTTTTTTTTTTTTTAATAATCGATTCTTGCCTTCAAGAATCGATTCAGTAGATCACAAAAATTAGAATCACGATTCATCGATTTTACGATTATTTTGCACACCCTTAATATATATATATATATATATATATATATATATATATATATATATATATATATATATATAATTGCTAAATAATACCATTGGGGTATTGAACTGGGGTGGGTGTGTGTTTTTGATCTACTTTGATGTTTTGTTTCAAACAAAAGCCTGCATGAATATACTCAACAGGAGGTGAAAAGCAATTTGATGTATTCAGTTATCCCCCCCTCCCCTTTCAGCAAGGCAGTTGAATCTATTATAGCGAAAGTATTTTAAAGAAGAGGAGTTTGGCCCAAATTAGATCTTTGAGCAACGACTTATTGCTGCTTTACTACATAAAACGTATATCATCTAAAGTTTCCTGTTTAAAATGGTCGATAGAAACACTCCACTTATGTTTAGTGCACCCCAGTGGTTAATAAACATTTGTGTGGTGGATCTCATGCCTGTTGTTGTTGCCTTTTGTTCTCTGTTTGAGTCCTGAAACTTGATCAAGTGTTTTGTAACCTTCCTTTCTGCAAAATGGGAAATAAAAGTATTTTATTTATTTATTTTCCAGCCATCGTTTTGGGTCGGTATTGGTCAATATATAAAACTGCATTATAGACATGGTATTGGTAATGAAAAGGTTATGTCAGGACACCCCTGCTGTAGATGCGCTTCATTTGAAAATTGCAGGTTGGGCCTTTTAAGAAAAGGAACACATCCTTTTTCTAAATTATGTTTGGATAAAAATCATAATGCATCAGGGCAAAAATGAAACGTTGATCCGACCTTCAGAATAACAAAGCTTAGTCTTTATTCAAATGAATGACATTTAAATAATGACTACATTAAACACCAAAAGGAAATTTTAAAAGTGAGTAAAATATGAATCCTTGACAAATCCTGAATTTCCCTGTCTACCTGAAACCTTACTTTCTCTAAATAGAGATCAAACGCTAGTTTTTTTAAGGCCAGTGTTACCGATTATTTTTGACAACAGGCTTTGAGTTTTTTTAGGCCCATATTGCTTTTTGTTCTTTCATTTGTATATAATGAAAATCACACAACGATAACAGCTGTTACTCAAGTCTCAGTTTAAACATTGAAATCATAGAAAAAAATGGAGGGAGCAGCAATTCATGGCTGCTGAAGACACAAATGAATTGGCGAGCACATGCACGGATTCTACTTATTCATTGTTTTATCCCCACTTCTTAACATCCAAATTCTGTCATTTCTCTTTCTTAGGAGGCATCAGAAATTTGTGCGAATGCTCCAGAAACTGTAAGCTGTGCCGCATCAGAAACTCAGCAAGATGATTCTCTACAGGTTTGGATTTCTTAAAGCAAAATCACTTCAGGTTGACAGGCTTCACTGTTTGCAGTGATTCACGGAAATCGACTTGTCTTGGTTTGTTCCTAGATCATTGATAGCATCATTGAGGAGAGTCAAAAGGGAAGTGCCGTTGATGTTTGTGAGGTGGTCCAGTTGTTAGATGAGCTACAGGTTGATGTAAAATCAGAGCCAAAGGAAGAGCAGCATGCTGTGAAGGTTCCCATGGAGAGAACAGTCCTAGTTGTTGCACCTGAACTTGTTGAGGAGTCAGAGGAGCAACAGGAAAGTCTAACTAGTAATGGAGAATGCTCTCTAGCTGCTCCTGACCCTCCAAGTCTACCAGGACCTTCAGCTGAGTCCCAAGACCAAGTGCAGCCTCCAGATCTCACCAGCACCATCGTTCACAGCCAGGCTGACGCTGCTGCTCTGATGACAGAAGGCGAGAAGGAGCAGAGACCTGCAGACATCTTGGACCAGGTTCCCTTAACAGACAGGCCGCTTCAAACGGACTCAATGGGGCCCTTAAAACCCCCCCGACAGTTCACAGTAGAGCCTGATATCGTAGCCAGCACCAAGAAGCCTCCTCCATCACGGCCACCGCCTCCCAGTGGGGGTCCTCCGCCGAGGCCTCCCCCGCCATCCTGCCGCAGCTTACCATCCAGGATGTCTCAGGAATGTGTGAGGCCAAGTGGATTGGAAGGTGAGGAAGCGGTTCTTCTGCACCTGCTTTGCAAACAAATGCCCACTTTCTTTAATCAGGGAGGGGTTATCTGGGGCAGAACGGGCCATGATTTTGGCTCACAGTTCAGACCAAGTGGCTCTTTAAGCAACTAATCTAAATAGAGTAGCACTTCACTTTTTTTTTTAGCTAATATTCTTGTCAAGAAAATTGATTATATTTTCTGTTGGTCCTGAGAGGTCTGGACTTTGTTCAGCCTTCAAAAGTGGTGTGATACGGCGACGTCATAGAATGGGCAGCAACCTGATGGGGATGAGGCCTATAGGGGGGACTTTAAAAGGCTTAAAAAAGCAGGATATGCGGCCTTTAGCTGATCATTGATGTGAAAGGAACTGCAAAGCGTTTCTAAAATCTCTACAGAAAAATCCTCAGCAGAGGCTGGTTTGCGGACGTCTGAAGTTCCTTTTTGATTTAAACGAGTTGGCATCAGTAAATCCATAACTGGACTAAAGGCAACATTATTTTAATTTCTTAGAGCGCTGATGAAGGGTATAAACCATGAAACATTTTTAAGCATGGAACGGAAAATTATCCATCCCAGATCATCTCGGTTTACTAACTGATCCTAAAGGCCTGGGTTTTGGGATATAAAAAGATCCCCAATTGTTAAACACTTAAAGTCCACTTAATATAACATTTTTCTCCAAGATTAATAATAATAATTTAAAAAAAATCTGTTAAAATGGAAATAAAAATATAAGAATCATTAATAGTCTAAGTGTACAAACCCATAAATTAACTCTGATTGATTCATTTTTGACCTTTTCTCCTGTTGGGTTCACACCAATTAAACTGAACCTGATCAACCTGAGCTAGAGCACAGCTGTCCCAGCACTAGCTGTTACCATTGTGTAGCTAAACCCAGAGTTTGCAGCGAGGATCCTCAGAATAATCATATTGTACAATATTCCACGGCATTGTTAATATACCGTTCTACAATTAAGACGGGAAGAAAAAACTAGAAATTCCTCCAAAATTACGGAAAAGACAAGGTGGGAACTGGTTAAACCGGCCTGGTACCGATCCGTCTGCCATTTGATACTAAGAGTAAATCATTTCTATTATTTGACTGATTAATTTTATCTGAATCGTGTTTTATTTTGAAAAATGAACAGATTCCCTCCATTATAAACATCTGTGACTCACTGTTGACAGCCATTACACCATAGGTCATGTTATACCTCCTGCTTTAAAATACCAATTTAAACCCCCAAGCTAGCAAAAATGAGTAATAAGCAAATGTCTTTAGATGGGTCCTTTGGGAGGGGGAAGCAGTCCAGTGAAGAGACTGAAGAGGAGCCTATGGCTGCTGAAAGAGGGACATTCTAAATCTTCATTAATCCTCAGGAATTAACAGAATATGTAGTTCTGTCCTACAGGCAGATGACCAAGTAGAAAAACCAACCTTCATCCATTCCTCCAGTCAGAGATTTTACATATGGTGTTACTTTGGTGGGAATACTGTGGGTCATTGGGGTCCCTTAAATAAGAACATTAGCGCTGTTTTTAAGAGTGTTCTGTTTTCTTGTCCCTTCACCCAGTATCTGCGGTGAGTGCTGTAAGCTGTGATTCTCTGGAGCCCTCTGGTTTGATGTCTCCATCCAGCACAGTGAGGTGTCTGACTAAAGACCTGCAGCATTCCTTGGATCTGGCCAGTGCCACCAGCGGAGAAAAGGTGGTAACAGCACAGGTCAGTGAGCCTGTAGACGAGGTTGTTGGGTTTTGTTCTTTCATACTTTCATTCAGCTGCTTTAAATGATCTAAGGTGAATGAAGGAGCGTGTTTAATGCATTTTTGAGTTTGGTTTTCTGTTTATATGATTGATTTCTAGGAAAATGAGGATGAACAGGCCTCATCTCAGAGTGGAGGACAAACCCCCGGCCCTCAGCGTCCACGTTCTAATTCTGGCAGAGAACTGACCGATGAAGTAAGGGTCAAACTTTGTGGGCTTGTTTTATGATAACATTCTTGGTAGGTTCCCCACTTTTAGGGCCTTAATGGCTTTCTTTCATTGCAAATATCACAGTGATGAATATTTAGTTGTCATTTTTAAAACCATGTATGTAAACTTTAAACCCAGGTATTAACTTAATTTGAGGCTTATTAAATTACTTTTTTTAGGTTAATCTTCAGCACTTGTTTTAATGCCCTGTGTGGGCTGTTCTGCTCACTGAATAGACTATGTGAACAAAGGGCCACTTTACATCAGTCTGAGCTCTGCTTAAACAATTCAGTTTATATTTGTTTATATCTAAAGTGCCAATTCACAACACATGTCATCTCAAGGCATTTTACAGAGACAATTCAACCAGATCATACAGTCAGATTGGTTCAAAGTTTTTTATCTAATGAAAACCAACTGATTTCTTCAACTCATTGACTCTTCAGGAATCCCTCACACCAAGCATGCATGTAGTGACAGTGGAGAGTAAAACTCCCTTTTAACAGGTAGAAACCTCCAGCAGAACCAGGCTCTGGCTGAGCGGCCATCCACCGAGGCTGACTGGGGTTCAAGGAGAGAGAAGCAGAGATACAAAAAGCAACTGTAAAAGGTGGCCCCATCCAGCAAACACACAATCGGGCAGATGAGCTCTGAGTCAGCTGCCATGTCAGAGGATGAAGAGAGCACATTCAGCCAGTCACAGTCAGAGAAACAGGACTACACTGAATACAGACCAAGCTCCAACATCAATAAACAAAGGTCTTGATGGCAGCAGCACATCTGATACTTCTATCCAGGGGGGGATATAAGAACAGACCAGATTAAGTTACTATGATAACAAAAAAGAAAATAGAATTAACCTGAGTTTAGCCTCCTATATTCCTTTGAAGACTGAGAAAACATCTGAAGGGTCAGGAGTGAAATTTGGAAGAAAGAATTTGGTGATAAAACAGAATCTCAAGCCTTGGACTTATTATAGAGTACAGTTGAAAGTGGAAGGGTTAAGGCACAAACAGCCTACCAACCTGTTGCCATCTATCAAAACCAACCTGGCGGGAAGCGAAAACATTCATCAGCAAAGCAGCCCAGAGGGCCATGCTAACAGGGAGAAGACAACTGTTAGCGGTATACACTATATAGCTGGCTTTAAAGGGTGAAAGAACAAATACATGTTATAAGAAAACTCTCAAAGATAAACTAGATCAAACTGGAACTTTCAGCCTTAACACAGAATACCTTTAATAGCAAAACAACTGAAACCACCCTTTAGTCCAAACTCCCATAACCTTTTTTAATATTAAAATCAATGTTTTTATGTTGTTGTTTTTTTTACCTTTTTGATTCTTCATACTGCTTTTTGTTCCTGTACCCCTTTGTCATGTTAACCTGTGCTCTTTAAAAGTTTGGTTTTCTCGCATGCTTATCAGACTGTTAGGTTTGGGTTTGCCTTTCTGATAAGATGGCCGCTGCAGTCTTTATCCAAGCTGTTCCTCGCTGAGTTAATGTGTGACAGAGCGCAGGAAGCACTGCTAGATTTCAAACTATTCACTTGATTTAATCAAGTGTAGGGTTCTAATAATGAGGCGAGAACAGATCAACAAGAATCACGTTTATTACATTTATGCTGAATATACACTGTTCCAAAAATAAAGGGAACACACATATATCTTAAATGAAATTAAACTTCTGTGAAATAAAACTTTCCACTTTGGAAGCAACACTGAATGAGGATCAATTTCACATGCTGTTGTGCAAACCAATAGTCAACAGGTGGAAATAATTTGGAAATTAGCAAGACACACTCAATAAAGGATTGGTTCTGTAGGTGGGGACCACAGAACACTTCTCAGTAACTCTGCTTTCTGGCTGATGTTTTGGTCCCTTTTTTTTAATGTTGGTGCTTTCACACTTGTGGTAGCATGAGACAGACTCTACAGCCCACACAAGGGGCTCAGGTAGCGTAGCTCATCCAGGATGGCACATCAATACGAGATGTGGCAAGAAGGTTTACTCTGTCTTTCAGTATAGTGTCTAGAGCCTGGAGGCACTACTAGGAGACAGGCCAATACATCGGGAGACATGGAGGAGGCCATAAAAGGGCAATAACCCAGCAGCAGGACCAATACCTCTGCCTTTGTGCAAAGAGGAACAGGAGGAGCCCTGTCAAAGGCCTACAAAATGACATCCAGCAGGCCTTAAATGTCCCTATTTCTGCACAAACGGTTAGAAACAGACTCCATGAGGACGGTATGAGGACCTGACATCTACAGATGGGGGTTGTGCTCACAGCCCAACACCATGCAGGATGCTTTGCATTTACCAGCAAACACCAGGATTGGCAAATTGGCCACTGGTTCCCTGCGCTCTTCACAGTTTAAATCAGGTTCACATTGAGCATATGGGACAGACAGCACGGAGTCTGGAGATACCATGGAGAGCGACCTACTGCCTGCAACATCCTTCAGCATGACCGGTTTGGCAGTGGTTCAGTAATGGTGTGGGGTTGTATTTCTTTGGAGGGACACACTGTATGTGCTCCGGAGGTAGCATTACTGCCATTAGGTACCGAGATGAGATCCCCAGAGCCCTTGTGAGACCATACGCTGGCACCTAAGGTTGGCCCTGGGTTCCTCCTAATGCAAGACAGTGCTATACCTTATGTGGCTGGAGTGTGTCAGCAGTTCCTACAAGATGAAGGCATTGAAGCTATGGACTGATCAGCACATTCCCTACACCAGAATCACATCTGGGATATCATGTCTTGGTCCATCCTCCAATGTCACGTTGCACCACAGACCTCTCAGGGGTTGGTTGATGCTTTAGTCCTGTTCTGGGAGGACCTCAGGAGAACATCTGGCATCTCATCAGGATCATGCCCACGCATTGTAGGGAGATCATACGGGAACACAGAGGCCAAACACAATACTGAGCCTCATTTTGACCTCATTACATCAAAGCTGGATCAGCCTGTAGTGTTTCTCCACTTTATTTTGTGTGTGATTCCAAACCCAGGCCTCATTTGGTTAATAAATTGGGGGATTTTGTTTTCAGCACATTCAACTCAGTATAGAACAAAGTATTCAAAGAGAGTATTTCATTCATTTAGATCTAGGATGTGTTTATTTGAGTGTTCTTTTTATTTTTCCTTAGAGGTTTATTTACGCATGAATATCTGGAGCTCTAGATTCACAGTCTCTGCTCTGATATAAAAACCTGTTTCCATGTTTTAGGAAATACTGGCCAGTGTGATGATCAAGAACTTGGACACCGGAGAAGAGATTCCCTTAATTCAAGCAGAGGAGAAACTTCCTACAGGGATCAACCCTCTCACTCTACATATCATGAGGCGGACCAAGGAGTACATAACGTGAGGGAAAAAGATTTAAATATCCAATAAAAGTGATGGTGTTGGTAACTTCTATATAAGCCTCCTGTGTAATTATATATATTTATATAAGAAGCCGCCATGTTTTCTGCTCTCAGGAATGACGCAGCACAGTCAGATGATGATGACAAGTCTCAGGCTCCATTGACAGACACAGATGGAGGAAAACTGAAGCAGAAAACGTAATCTAGCAGACTTTTCTCCGTGTCTCTGTTTCCACCACTTGATTAAATGTGAAAAGTGATGTATTTTTAACCAGGACCCAGCTGAAAAAGTTCCTGGGCAAGTCGGTGAAAAAGGCCAAGCACCTTGCTGAGGAATATGGAGAAAAGGCTGTCAATAAAGTGAAGAGTGTGCGTGATGAAGGTATAATAGCTAAATGATGAGCAATAATGAAGGATTTTTGGTTCAACTTTTGTTTAAACTTTCTTCATTTTTATAATTGGTTCTGTCTGTCTGTAAAGGAAAACTGATAAGATTCCAAACACCATTGGTTCAGATCAAAATACAGCAATACAAACAAAATAGTTTTTTATTTTTAGGTTACTTTAAAGAACTGAAGAACATTAATGAACAGAATAAATACAAAGGCACTTGCTGAAACTTCTTCCCTACCAATCATTTGTATAAAATATGAATAAAGAAATAAAAATGTAAACAAAAAAATTTCATTTGCATAATGAGGCAGAAATGCATACAGAAATATAAAAAGGAAAGACAGAAATAAATAGCGCCGAAGAAATAACTAGGGTAAAAAAATACAAAGGAAGAATAAAACAGACAAAAATATTATAACATGCACATAAATAAATACTTAAAAATATAAGTAATTAAAAAATAAATGTAAAGATTATAAAGGGAAAAAAATAAGCTAAATATTACAAAGGCAAATAAATAAAGCTTATTAAAAGAACTGTATAATTTAATTTCTACTTACATTTATTTGTTTATTGTATTTTTGGTGGCAATTAATTGTATGCTTATTTATTTATTGAGCATTTATTTATTTCTGTATTTATTTTTAAATATGGCAGAGTTGGTCCTCCATAGTTTACTACCGTGTTTCCTCATTGCACACATATGCTGCATCATACTGTGGTCTTGACATATATAATAAGCTAACAGGGCTCCACAATGCAAACTGAAAGCCATTGTTTGCAACCAGAGTGAGCTGCTGGTGTAGGAATTTGTAAGCCATAATATATGACTGGGTCCCTTTATACAAAGAAACAGTGTTGTGCATATTTATCAGAGCATATACGGAATAAACAGTTTTTCCTTGTTCTATCTGTCCTACTTTGTTGTGAAATGTGGCTAGAAATCTTAGTTTTGTAAATTAATTTATAGTAACTTTCTAGTCTAACGTGATTCATTCATGCTTCTACTGTTTGCAAAATCTCAGTTTTGCTTTCTGCATGGTTTCTTCTTTAGTTTTCCACACAGATCCAGACGATCCTTCATCCAGTGATGATGAGGGCATGCCGTACACCCGACCGGCCAAGTTCAAGGCAGCTCACAGCTTTAAAGGTCCCTTCGACTTTGACCAGATCAAGGTTGTGCAGGACCTGAGCGGAGAGCACATGGTAAGACTCTTGACCCAATATTCATCCCGAAGAAGTGATCATCGTTGGTGTTTTTAAAAATGTTTGTTTTTCCTAAAGGGAGCTGTTTGGACGATGAAGTTCTCTCATTGTGGAAGACTTCTGGCAACTGCAGGCCAGGATAATATCGTTCGCATCTGGGTCCTTAAAACTGCCTTCGACTACTTCAATAATATGAGATTAAAGTACAACACTGAAGGTTTGAATATTCTTGTGGATCTGTGTTAACAAATATAGAGCGAAGTGACCCGTTTTGGAGGATCATCCTTTATGTTTCTTATCCTCCAGGTCGAGTTTCTCCATCTCCTTCTCAGGAAAGTCTGTGCTCATCTAAATCTGACACGGATCCAGGGGTGAGAAGTTTAAAAGCTGACGAGAACCGATGTTTTATCCACATCTTTGCTGTGATTTTTACCTGCAGAGCAGCAATCGATGTGAATCTTTCCCTAAATTAATTTCCTGTGTTTTAGGGAAGCTGTGCCCCAGAGGATCTGGACACCGAAGACAGAAGTGCTCCTTTCCGCCAAATTCCCTTCTGCAAGTATAAGGGACACACAGCTGATCTACTGGACCTGTCCTGGTCAAAGGTAAGCATGTTCCTCTTCTTCTTAACGGATGTTAGATTCCCCATTGAGCCTTTTTTAAATGTATATATTTGACTCCTGCTGCCGTTTGTCCAGAACTTTTTCCTGCTCTCGTCCTCCATGGATAAAACGGTTAGATTATGGCACATATCCAGGAGAGAGTGCCTCTGCTGCTTCCAGCACATCGACTTCGTCACAGCCATTGCTTTCCACCCCAGAGTAAGTTGGGTCATCATGTGTTTGTCTTCAATTTAGGGTTTGCTGGTTCATTTGATCAGTTTTTATCAGGTTGAATACCGTTAATGTCTGGTTAAAAGTCATTCAGGGGGTTTCATAGAAACCACATCAGTTTTTTTTTGTTTGTTTTTTTCAGAATCGACTTTATCAGCCAAGCTTGTTCAGACAAGGACTTTGGTTCCACTTATGTAAATAATTTCTAAACACAAAGCATTGATAGGAAGTTAGATTTTTGGTCATGTTTGTTAATTATCAATATTCATTAAAAAGAAATGAGGGCATTTTGATGAAATTTTTACCAAAGGGGAGCTTCTTGCCAATGAAAAATTCATTACAGTTTGGTAATGATCCAGATCATGGTTCAGTTTTAGCTATAGGCGTAAATCACAATATGGGGCATTTGCTGCTTGTGGAGGTCTGAGTACTCAGGGTGCTTTTCTAATTCTTTATTGTGAATATGTAGATGGATTTTGGAGTCCTGATACAGTCATTTTTTGTTTTAAAAACAATTAAAAAAAAAATTTTTTTGTATGTTATATGCAGTGAGTAGCGGATTTGGACTCGACAGGGGACAGAGGAAAGAAGTTAACCTGGATTAGAATCTTGTATTTTTTTAAATGTGTTTTATACCATTTAAATGCATTGTCCCTTTTTTTTTATAAATAAATACAAAATGTTTATATATTGTGTTCAAGGCAAAAATTAGATTTCCACCTTTAACATGAGTGCGTTATAGTGAAGTGGAAGGTCCTAGAACAAAGCAATATGGATGCATCCATCCACATTTTTTCACCTCTGAACCCGATATTACCTTTAAAGGTATCGTGGAGGATTTTTTTCCTTTTTGTTTTTTTTCCACACAGAATTAGCTGTTATCCATCCTCTGATTATTTCAGGTAATGTCTCTGAATCACACATTCCTCAAGAAAAAAAAGGCAACAAAAGGCCACATGTCAAACAATTTTCACAATTCCACTGTGCCTTTCTAATACGAAATCCTGGTTACTTTGTCAGAGAGCGTAACTGCATGGGAGGACCGTTTCACATCAAGATAATTGGAGATCTCTGATTGGTCAGATGCTGATTAGCCTTTAGTTCAGACTGAAAGGTGGAATCAACTCAATTAGAGCAGAAATGCAGAGCCATGCTTCCTCCTCCAATATCAGTATATGAGCTTCTGGAAGAATGAGGGAAAAGTTCTAATTTACAGGCTCCTAAACCTCAGGAATAGAATTCCCAGAAGAATTGAAGCTCTTATAGCTCTAGAGGGCGACCAACGTCTTATTGAACCCAAAGGTCTATTGGATATAACCTAAGATCATTATGAGAGTCAAGGAGAGTGAGTGGTTTAACCTCTGACTTCATCCTGGCTGGAAAATTAACATTTACTGTCAGTGGGTTTTATACAGGTAATTTCCAGGTTAGTAGACACACTCTGTGGACTTTATGAAGTTTGCATTCAAAATAATCAGAATTTAACTAACTGCAGTTTTCAAACGACTGAGGCACTTAATTATGGTCATATCATATTTAACAAGAGTTAAGATATTGACTTTCTAACTCCAGCCTTTTAGGTGGTGGTTAAATGTTTACAGCAGGTTTAGCGCCACAGAGAAAGGGACAGAGTTGCAGTTAGCACGCAGATGCATGCATGAGATTGAACGTTGGCACTTTTCCACACAACAGGAACGGTGAAGTCCTGCAACAATGGACTCTGGAATAGCGAGCTTTCAAGGTCAGGACAGGAAATCCTGGAGTGAAGCTTTTGGATGATGCTAAAGGATTTGAATAAAATTGCAGTTGTAATATTGTTTGGGAGAAAAAAATTGCAATTTTATTTTGTGGCTAAATTGTTTTAGCCACAAAATGTTTTTTTTTCTTTTTTCTACCTCTTCATTGTTCACACATCCAAAAAGTCCAGCTGTGTTTAGGATTATTGTCCTTCTAAATCCTCCAGTCAGGTCTCAACCATCTAACCCAAATCCTCCTTAATGAAAGGATCTTTGGGAACAATCCAGGAGCTACAGGTTAAATGTAGACCATCGGCCCACTGATGATGATTTTTAATTTATTTTTTCTGGTTTTGGCCGATAGAGGCATGTGTTCCCCCGTTCATTCCTGCTTTCAGTAGCCGTTTGTAATATTTCGATGGATTTCTTCATGAACATTTTTTTTTTTATTAAGACTTTCGTATCGTTTTTCATGTAACACTATATCCATTTGAACGGAGGAAAGAAAAGGAATATTGGCTCCAAAATCAGCAGCACACATCGGGATCTGTTAGACTTTATTGATTTCTAAAGCAGGTTTTACTTCTGTCTGTGTTTTATAGGATGACAGATACTTTTTAAGTGGTTCTTTGGATGGAAAACTCCGACTTTGGAACATTCCAGATAAGAAGGTGGCTCTGTGGAATGAGGTGGATGGTCAAACACGGCTCATCACCGCCGCCAACTTCTGCCAGAATGGGAAATACGCCGTTATCGGCACCTATGATGGACGCTGCATCTTTTATGACACCGAGGTATCCTGTAGTTTTTATCCTGATTGTTCTAAGGAGATTTTGGAATCTGATGTAGCTTTCCTGTTTATTTACTAGCGGCTGAAATACCACACCCAAATTCACGTGAGATCAACCAGAGGAAGGAACAAAGTCGGCCGCAAAATTACAGGCATTGAACCTCTGCCTGGGGAGAACAAGGTAACGGCTCCTATTCCCCCACAGACAGTCTGGTAGATAATGCTGCAGCGAGGGTCGATAAATGTCCAAATCTCTCCTCTCTGGTAGATTTTGGTCACCTCAAATGATTCCCGTATTCGTCTGTATGACCTGAGAGACCTGTCTCTGTCCATGAAGTACAAAGGTTACGTCAACAGCAGCAGCCAGATAAAAGCCAGCTTTAGGTGAGAGACGTTCCTATCCAGCTCCACGGTTTCGTTCTCTGCTGCTTCTTACTTTTCTAAAGAGAAAGGAAGTGCTGTCATTTAATATGAAAGGTCTATTAGATGTTTTGTATTGTTCCAACACAGCTTGCAAAGAAAAAGTTCTTACCTTTTAGCCCATCTCCACTCCTTTTGTTGCTTTGACCATTTTTTTAATCCTTCTTTGCTGTGGATTTTGCAGACTTTCTATTAAGCTTTTCAAAAATACTACTACTTAGAAACAATACAGATTCGGCACTGTATCAAGTGCTTGTATATTTTTTGCTTCTAACTTACATTTTCTGGACTATTTGCACATTAAAAGCATCAAATCAGTTTTGTCATATGTGGGTTATGTAAGCCTTTGAGTAGTTGAAAACAATGCCATGTACAGGTGCTGGTCATAAAATTAGAATATCATGAAAAAGTAGATTGATTTCAGTAATTCCATTTAAAAAGTGAAACTTGTATATTATATTCATACATTACATACAAACTCATATATTTCAGATGTTTATTTTGTTTAATTTTAATGATTACAAATGACAACAAATGAAAATCTCAAATTCATCATATCAGAAAATTAGAATATTGTGAAAAGGTTCAAAATTGATGGCCCCTGGTACCACACTCTAATCAGCTAATTAACTCAAACCACCTGCAAAAGCCTTTAAATGGTCTTTCAGTCTAGTTCTATAGGCTACACAATCATGGGGAAGACTGCTGACTTGACAGTTGTCCAAAAGACGACCATCGACACCTTGCACAAGGAGGGCAAGACACAAAAGGTCATCGCTAAAGAGGCTGGCTGTTCACAGAGCTCAGTGTCCAAGCACATTAATAGAGAGGCGAAGGGAAGGAAAAGATGTGGTCGAAAAAAGTGTACAAGCAAGAGAGATAACCGCACCCTGGAAAGGATTGTGAAACAAAACCCATTCAAAAATGTGGGGGAGATTCACAAAGAGTGGACTGCAGCTGGAGTGAGTGCTTCAAGAACCACAACACACAGACGTATGAAAGACATGGGTTTCTGCTGTCGCATTCCTTGTGTCAAGCCACTCTTGAACCACAGACAGCGTCAGAAGCGTCTTGCCTGGGCTAAAGAGAAACAGGACTGGACTGCTGGTGAGTGGTCCAAAGTCATGTTCTCTGATGAAAGTAAATTTTGCATTTCCTTTGGAAATCAAGGTCCCAGAGTCTGGAGGAAAAGAAGAGAGGCACTTCATCCACGTTGCTTGAAGTCCAGTGTAAAGTTTCCACAGTCAGTGATGGTTTGGGGTGCCATGTCATCTGCTGGTGTTGGTCCATTGTGTTTTCTGAGGTCCAGGGTCAACGCAGCCACATACCAGGAAGTTTTAGAGCACTTCATGCTTCCTGCAGCTGACCAACTTTTTGGAGATGCAGATTTCATTTTCCAACAGGACTTGGCACCTGCACACAGTGCCAAAGCTACCAGTACCTGGTTGAAGGACCATGGTATCCCTGTTCTTAATTGGCCAGCAAACTCTCCTGACCTTAACCCCATAGAAAATCTATGGGGTATTGTGAAGAAGAAGATGCAATACACCAGACCCAACAATTCAGAAGAGCTAAAAGCCACTATTAGAGCAACCTGGGCTATCATAACACCTGAGCAGTGCCACAGACTGATCGACTCCATGCCACGCCGCATTGCTGCAGTAATACAGGCCAAAGGAGGCCCAACTAAATACTGAGTGCTGTACATGCTCATACTTTTCATGTTCATACTTTTCAGTTGGCCAACATTTCTATAAATCCTTTGTTTTTATTGGTCTTCAGTAATATTCTAATTTTCTGATATGATGAATTTGAGATTTTCATTTGTTGTCATTTGTAATCATCAAAATTAAACAAAATAAACATCTGAAATATATGAGTTTGTATGTAATGTATGAATATAATATACAAGTTTCACTTTTTAAATGGAATTACTGAAATCAATCTACTTTTTCATGATATTCTAATTTTATGACCAGCACCTGTATTGTGACAACTAGGACTTTACCTAATGTTTTTATTAATTTATTCATGATTTAATTAATGTAAAAATATTTTTTTGTGGAATATGGAAAAAGAAAATGCTGTATTTTAAATGAATTAAAATTACAAATAATATTTTATGTTTATGCTCAATTTCCTGCAAGTTGGTTATTCATTCTGCAAAATTAATGTTTTATAGTCTGTACCGTTACGCTAGGAAACAAATTACCAAGTGAGATGACCTTTTAATTAATGATTAACTTGATTCATCATTTCAGCGCCACTCTGTCCATAAAGCCTGATCTCTGTAGAACTATCTGGTCTAACTTTTGGATAAGATAATTTAGAAATGGGGAAAAATTATTTAACAAAGAAAATTTTTCCATTTTACCCAAAAACTAATCCAGTCTGTCCTCTTCTTCTACAGCCATGACTACTCCTTTATAGTCAGTGGCTCGGAGGATAAATATGTGTACATCTGGAGCACTTACCACGATCTGAGCAAATTCACATCAGTACGACGAGACCGCAATGACTTCTGGGAAGGCATCAAAGGTAACCAGTAAAAAAGCATCTAATGTAAATGTTCTGCTCCTTGTTTCTAAACGGTTTGTTTTTGTCTTCCAGCACACAATGCAGTCGTCACCTCAGCTGTTTTTGCACCTCATCCGGATCTTATCGTTCCTCAAGATCCGTTAGCAGAGAAACCCGAGGCAGACCGGAAGAGCCTGGACTCCACGGATTCCTCTGAAACGATACCATCAGGTAGGTCCCCCCGCTTCACGTTCATCTGATTCCCTCAGAGAGGAGCTGCGTTTCAGTGCCATTTGTTTTCCCTGCAGGAGCCCTGAAAACTGATCACACAGAAGTTCTCCTCTCTGCTGACTTTACTGGAGCAATTAAAGTTTTCATCAACGTCAAAAAGTACTGAGCACTTTGGACGCAGGCCTGTTCAGCTGAAGATGGACGATGAGTCAAAGTTCCTTTCTCTACCTAACGGTTGTTCCTCTGAGTGTAAAGTGGAGAAAGACTGTACAAAGTGGGCAAGGTGAAGCAACTTGTCTTATTTTTTATCTTTCATACCAGGTAACTGAACAGTTCAACATCTGGAGATCCAGAAATATTTGCACAGAAATTATTTCTGTTCAGATGTTCATGATTATAGCTGTGTGGCCAAGAATTATTATAGAGAACGTTTTGTGGTCGGGCTTCTTACATTTCTCTTAAAAGCAAATGACTTCAGCTGATCCGCACAGTTCAGCAAACTACTAAGGATTCAAACTGGATGTCCTAAATGTTTCAGAAAACGTTGGTTCATTTCCTATTCATCACAGCACTGTAACTGATCCAGACGGAAATCTTTCAGCTTTTGTAAACAAATAATGTACTTTCATCAATAAAAATCTGCACAAACAGAAAGGCTGCCTGACTTTTTTTTTTCTTTTCCATGTCTTCCACAGAAACATTCATCACCAAAGGTGATTTTATTTAGTGTCAGAACTTTGTGACAATGTCAGATTTTTAAAAACAAAAATATAAGTAGTTACAGCGGTGAAACTTCACAATACAAAAAGGTGCCGAGTCTTTTTATGGAACCAAAAGAAGGTTTCAAGTCCTGAATCAGGTCAGTGTTTACTCTTCTTTGCCTTCTTGTGGGAGCGATGTGGGGATCGGGACTTGGACTTGCTTGCCTTCTGGTCTGGAGATGGCGATCGGGAGCGTTTAGACCGTTTAGGAGACTTTGTTCTGCAAAGCAAGAAGATGCCAGATCAGCTTTACGTATGCTCAGTTCCTCCACCTGCAGCTTCTTTAATGCTTACCTTGATGGAGAGACACTCTTTGAATTTCGGGACTTTTCTCCAGGATTACCGCTCTGCCTTCTGTCTCCATCGTTCTTTTTGCTTCTTTCTTTATGCCTCCTTTCTTCCCTCTGAGCATCTTTAGTCTTTGACCTCTCATTCTTTTCCTCGGCTTTGTGAAACTCCTAAAGCAGACAAACATTTAATTGACTTTGAACCAATCAACCTTAACCTGTACTCAGCACTTTGAGTCTTCACTAAAGCAGCAGTTTTAACCGAATTCAGTTTATTTATATAGCGCCAATTCACAACATGACACCTTACAGAGACAATTCAACCAGATCATACAGTCAAATTAAAAGAAAACCAGTTGACTCCAAGGCAATCCCTCACACCCAGCATGCTTGTAGCGACAGTGGAGAGGAAAACTCCCTTAAACAGGAAGAAACATCCAGCAGAAAGAGGCTCAGTTTGACACATGCTTTCATATTTCTAAGCTTAACCGTGCTGGTTTGGTCCTGAAAGTTGATGAAGGCAACAAATCACCTTTTATTCACAGAAAATGGGCCAAATTAACATTGAATTTCTAGTTGGATGAGCACTTCAGTGAGGTGCAGTATTCCCATATTTACTTCTGCCCACAGAAGAAAAAATGACTTTTCTGTCCACAAGATGGCGACGTCTGGTTAAAACTGCAGCTCTGTACAGAAGCAAACAGAGCTGCAAAGATGCTGCCCCAGTTCCTGATAAGCAGTGCACTGTTGTGTCTGTTGGAGTAGAGCATGCAGTGGACGAACAACAGCACTAATAATATGAATGTAGAAGGATCACTGCAGTAAACCTGATCCCTACAGGGAGTCTCACCTTCTGCAGCAGCTTCTGTCTGTAGTTCTCCACTTGTTGCTGAATGCTCATTCCAGGTTTCCTTTTGCTTTTTCCAGATTCCAGCTCATCTTGGAGTTTCATAACTTTTACCTGTGATCGATGAATCCAGTCAGTTGTTCTGTTTGACAACAATAGATCTAATATTTCCTGGCTACTGATTTTGGTCCGTAAGAGAAAACTTGACAAAGTTATTAAACATCCTACAGAATCATTTGTGTAGTCATTTAAACCATTTTCTATGGAGAGCAGTTTCATTCAAAATTACAAACTAAATATTCGATCGATTGTTTTAGAAATCCCTAATTTGAAAAGTTACTTAAAGTAAATTAACATTTTCAAATCATTTGGAAGAGGCGAAAAAAGATATTTTATGTTGAAAAATGTTTATATTTGTAAAGTTTTTTTCTTGTGTCAGTAAGTTATCCTTTTATAGAATGGCAGTATGTGAACCTTTACTCTACTTCAAACTAATTTGTTTGTAAAGGGAAGGCGGGGCTTATTGTTTATCAGCATCATAAATATCGTCCAATTGTAGACGTGCTTTAAGCTTAAGTATTTTCACAGTAAAAAGTCAGATTTAAAGAAGTTTATTGCAAAAGTGAAAAGAACATTTCAGTATCCTGTCAGCTGAGTTTGTTTATGTTAATGTGATTAGAAGTTATATTTAATATTGTTTATTAAATAAAAATTCTACAAATTCTACTCCACTATGTAATGATTTGATTACCAGATTATTTCAGTACTTCATTTCTTTATTAATCATTTTAGCCCCCTTAGAGAATAATCTAGATAAATGTCCAAGAAATAAAAAATGGAAAACAAACTATAACTATCAAATTAAGATTTTCTTTTAGTTTATTTCAATAATTTATTTACTTTCAGATTTTTTTCATAATGCTCTCGTAGTGGCATTTTTTTTTTATGTACTTTCTATTTCATGAACATGTAAAAAAAAAAACATAAAACACCCTAAAACAAAAACAGCATGAACTAAAAACATGATTAAAAGATAATTGTCCTGGATGTTTTTTCATTTAGCTGCTGTCAAAAATAAAACTCAAATAAAAAATAATCATCTAATATTAAAACGAATAGCAGGAAGGAATCAACTGTATCACTGAATTGTAGGTTTTTGAAAGCTGAAATCTGGTTAGTTTTTCTTTCTTTCTATACATAGATGAATTCCTTCATGCCCCTCTCAAACCACCTATCTTCTTTGACCAAATTTTTAACATTCTGGTCCTCAAAAGAATGTACTTTGTCCATAAGGTGTAGATGTACCGCTGAGTCTTGTCCCGCTTGTTTGGTTTAATTTGTACGTTTTCTAAGCCAAAACAAGACTTTATTTTTGGTTCCTTCTCTAAAGCCTTGAACTCAACGCCATTTCTGACATTTTGAATTGAAAAAGCTTCCTGGATGGGAAGTGAAACGTCTTCAAACTAGGAAACAAAGTACAGTGGATTGTTTTTTCTTTTTTTTTTTTTTTTGGAATGACTATGACCTGGATGACTGATAATCTTCACCAGAATTGATCAATTTCTAAGAGTATTTCTTTTTTTATATAATTAACTCTGGATAAAACAGGAAAACAGCTTTATACAGGAGCTGATCTTTGTTCATCAATCAAAGATCGTCCAGAGTTTAAAGATGCTCCAGACCAATCTAAATAAGTCTAAATAATAAAGGATGATTTAAAATCAATGCTTGCATTCTGAGATCACAGATGAATTAGTGCTTAACTGAAGATATTTTATTCATAAAGACTTTCTCTGAGGGAAAAACTAATGTCTTGCATCAAACTTCTCAACCTTCTGTCGAGCAGTTATGGATTAAAGGGGGAATAATGAGTCAGTTTTCTGATGGAGCAACACTTACTTCCACCTCTCTCAGCCTTTTCCTTTTACTCTCCGACATTTGTGAGAAAACTGCCCCCTCATAGTTGGGCGACCTGCAGGAATCAGCACTGCTTTCACTCTCCGAGTCTTCATCTTCCTCCTGTGAGTTGCAGCTGAAGCCAGATAAGAGGAAATATTACAGCTTTTCTTTTCATTCAAACCATTGACTGCGAGGTGAAATCAGAGCTTACCTCACATTAACCTTGTTCTCATCAACCTGTTCCCTTAAGGTTTCCCATTTGGACTCAGTTTGGACTGAAAGGAACAAACGGAACCATGAGTAGGATATTTGGGGTTAAACCAGGGACAGAATAAGCCTGATAAAGTCTCACCAGTGTCACTGATCTTCTCCCATTTAGACAAAGGCACTCTGGAGAGTGGAAGGTTACTTTCATCCACTGAGGAAACAAAAAAAACCTCAATAGGCAACAAAGAATCAGCTTTGAGACTCTCTAACTTGACTTTGAATGGTTGACTCACAGGGTACTCCATCGATGTCATCAATAGCTGCATTTAGGGGAACGCCATCTATGTCATCAACAGGGACTCCATCCAGGGGGTCCCAGCCAATGGGGCATCCGTCTATGTCGTCTATTGGAGTTTTTCCCATTGGGAGCCCGTCTATAAGCGTGCTGTCAAGCGGCGCGCCATCAATCTCACCGGATACCTCCTACATAAAGACAAACATAAAGCTCACCATGTCTGACAGGGGTAACAAAAAGAAACAGCAGCGTCTGCATCGAGGAGATAAGCTCACCTCTGCAATCTCCTCCTCTTCTTCCTCTCCTGCTTTGGTGAAGCCCAGAAAGATATTCTGAAGCTGGATTAGATAAGGTTGGGGATAAATGGCCCAGTCCTCCCAAGCTCTGAAACAATTCATGACCTTTTGCTGCGGAGACAGAGCATTTAGATCTTTTTAAGAGTTCTCTTCCAGGTCAAAGAGTTTTATAGGAACATTTTTGAAAGCTTACCTTGAACTGTTCAGCCTGCAGCCTGGCCTGGATGTTTTTATGTCCTGCATGCAGATGCTCAAATATCTGGGGTAACTTTGCTTCAAAACTGCAGACAGTGGGATTGTTTTAAGATTTACAGCAAGTAAAAAAGAACTGAGGTTTTAAAAAGTGAAATGAGACGACTTTTTCTTACTATTTCCGATAATATGATGCCCGGGGTACTTTGGCACACGAGTTGTGCAAGATGTCCGACACCAGGTACAATCTGGAAATCTGTGGGATTCATGACAAATGAATTCATTATTAACTCCGTTTAATGTTTATGATTCACATGGTGCTTCCAAACGTTTTCACTTCCCCCTGCAGACCTCCATGTGATTGGATTTTATAAAACAGACCAACACCAAACGCTGCAAAGTTTGCTTCCACTTCAACAACAGAAAGACATCCAGGGGGCGGTGACGGCGTGACAAGCTCACCGTTTAACGCCGGGAGTAAAAACCAGGCTTAAATGTGAGGTATACTTAGAAATGCACTGTAAGCAGGAGAACTAGCCTTCTTCTGAAGGGGAATTTGAAGCGGGCAGAAAGAGTCCGAAACTTGTCCCACAACTTCCTCTGCTGCATCTGCTCGATCTAGACAGAACAACATGGCGCTGG